TGGAATCATCATGGATTAGCCCAACCGGAGAGTTTTTTTTGCAAATATAGATAAGGACATCTTCTACAAAGCTATACCACTTAAGAGCAAAAGAGAAAAGCATAAGGCACAAACATTCAAACCAGAAGAACTCTAGAGTGATGAAGAACTCTAGAGTGATGAAGAACTCTAGAGTGATGAAGAACTCTAGAGTGATGAAGAACTCTAGAGTGATGAAGAACCTACTAGAGAAAACAGAATGATTTCAAAAAAAGACTTGTCTTAGGACAAGATCTTATTTGAACTATGTCTTTTTCTTTATAAAAGTCCAGCTAAAGACTATAAACCAAAGCGTTTGATGAGAGACAACCAATTTAGGTATTTATTTATTTAGTTTAACTTTTTTTCTATTGAAGTTTTTTTATTTTATACAGGCCTTTGTATGCATCAAAAACGAAAAAAAAAGAAGAAAAAGGAGGCTGACCGCGGCCGAGGAAAGTTCAGCCGCGACCAACAAGCAGTTCACCGCGGTAAGCTCAGTTCGGCCACCCTTGACCATCTCCACCTCTACATTGATCCAAATTAAACTCCCATTTGATCAAACACCACTCTACATCAACCACCATCCATCATTATTATCCTATCACCTCCACAACCACCTCACAACCCATCACCAACACCAAGTTTTGTTTTCCTTTATCTTTTCAGTTATTACATACTTTATTTCTACCTGATTTATTTCACACTGTGGAAAGTATGATTTAAGTCTGGGGAGGATTCCATCCCTTACTAGCCACTATTTCTTGCATGAGCCCTTGCATTCTGCATTTTTCTTTAAATTTTTTTCATTTTTTCGGTTCTTAAAAGTTTCCAAAGTCTTCTGAATTTCAAAATATGTTTTCAAAGTTCAAATACGTTTTGAGGGAATGATGATAAAATCGGTGATGATTACCAACCTGTTTGCTTCTACACCATCCGTTTATGAAAGCTCTTTCAAGGTTTAGTACTAGACTAGGCGGTAGCTAGAGTACCTACACTACGAAATTCCACCAGAGAACTTTTATCCATGGAGATTCTTTCTGACAGGATATACTAGCTTATTTTACTTGAACTTAATCTTGACATCTAATTTTCTCATCATTGGTTTTAGGAAGGCATCATGATATACCTCTAGGACGTCTTCACCTTATTGTTACCACTCTTTGTTGTCCTATATGGCCAGTTCATTTTTAACTGGTATCATACCCTTAACCCAAATCTTTATGTTCGAACCTTATGCATTCTCTCTTGTTTTTATCGGCAGATATGTGAAAAAACGCTGGAGAAGGAGGAACAACATAGTTTTCAGTCACTCAAGAGAATGACTGAATGAAATTGGGAAGAAAGAGTATCAAGCCTCAGGATGCCTCAGAAAGCTCATTCTTAAAGATAAATTTCGTCACCCTTGCACGGAATCGCTCGGAAAGCTACGATTCCCGCTTCGGAATCGGAATCGCACGAAATCGATCGGAATCGTTGCGGAATCGCGATTCTGAAATTTTATCGTTTGAAAACGCTGAAAAATTGTTCGATTCCGAGTTGGAATCGTATTTTTCGTGGTTGGAAGCGTTGCTGCAAACTTCGACTAAAAATTATAGAACAAGAATATGATCTGTCATTACAATTTTGTTAGGCTTAATATATTTAAAGCGCATTAAGCTATCACTATCGTTTTTTATTTTATTTTTAATATTATTTAATTCAACTAATTATTTGTTTAATATATTTCAAGCCCATTAAACCCATTAAACCCATTAAACCATATGCTTCCAACACGTACCCGCTTCCTAATTTTTTTGAAAAATTCGCTTCCCCGCTTCCAAACGCTTCCGCTTTCGCGATTCCGCTTCCGATTCCATGCAGCTTGACTCAAAATGTGGTTTCCCATTTTTCAAAAAAAAAAAATATATATATATATATATCCAAAAAGAAAAAAAATGAATGAAAGGAAAGGAAACAAAAAGCCTAAAGAGTTTTAGAAGTCAAAATTATTTGGAGCAAAGACTGTAAGTAGTCATCTAATGAGTTATGGTTTCACAACCCGGACAAAAATCTAAGTCTGGGGGAGTTATGAAGAGAACCTGAAGAAAAGAGATCAGAACTCTTAAAGCATGAAGAATGTGACTGGAAACTGTGGACATTCAACAGCTCCATCATCTCCTACTGTTTTGCATAATATCATGTCTCTCTAGGAAAATGTAACCTTATACACATCAGACCTCACCAATAAACAGCCCTTTGAATACCTAGCCTTGAATGTCTTGTTTAATATTCTTTTGATGAGAATCACTGAAACCTTTAAAGAATGTTAAGAGCTAGTTGACTGAAAGTTATTTCTAAGTGTGTAGATTTTCACATGACGGATTAACGGATTAGTTATGTTTGTATTTTGGTGAGAATTTTCTAGACTTCGTCTAATTGATGCATTGCCCCTAATTAAGGTTTAGAAGTATGGTTGCTGATATTTTTGAGTTCCCTGTGATTTCTGTTGATGATATTTTTCTAGCTTGGATCTTGTTTTGTTTGAGGACAAACAAAGTCTAAGTCTGTGGAGTTGATAACACCGTATTTGTACCCATTTTCACTATTGATTTCAAATGCTTTTTCAAAGGTTTTAATTAGTTTTAGGAACTTTTATTATAGTTTTTCTATGCATGTAGTTTCAATGCTCTTTTCAAGAAATTTAGGGAAAAACATGGTAAAATGGAAGAAATCCATATCTTTAGCTCAGAATCAGACTGTCAGAAGTCCAGCCTCAAATGAAGATCTTCTCACCGTCTGATCCAGCTCAAATTTGGAGACATTCAAGAGGAACCAACAGGCTTTCTATAGCACTTTACATCATGACAATCCAACGGTGCAATAAAACGATATGTGAAGAGCAAGTTGACCAATTTCACCAGTCTTGGAAGACTCTCACCTGCAGCAAAAGTGCACTCCACCTGACCCAGAAGACTCTCACCCGCGGTGGATCTATGCCCAGCCACAAGGCCCAACATCAAAGCCCATTTCGTCATTTCTCGTCAGAGAAGCTCTAATTAAGACCTGGAAGACCTTAGGACCTATAAATACATTTTTTTAGTAGTCCTAATCGGGTGTGTGCTCTAGTAATGAGTTTTTGAGCCACCAAACTTTTTTTTCTTAAGGTTAGGCGATGGAGAGAGGGATTCTTCCCTTGAACCATTTTTCTTTCTCCTTTCTATCTATTTAGCTTTTCCATTTCAGTTTATGCATATTTCATATCTTTTATCATTTCATGCATCATGTTAAATTAGTCCAAGAGTCAAGTTTCTAAAGAGTATCGATGGGATACATGTTCGATTAGGATTTCTAGTTTTCTCAGCCATATTCTAGATCTCATATCTTTTGAGTTGTTTATAGTGCATGAGGTTAGATTCATGACCTAATCTATGAGCTTAGGATCGATCAGAGCCACAAGAGTGCTGTATCAGATCATTCGTACCTAGCTTCAGAAGAACATAGTCACTATAAGAGTCGAAAGCTACCTATAGAGAAGACGTGAGAAAACGAATTCAGTTGTGATTGCATAATCTTATTCACCGCATGAGAGCGAGAGTTAATTCGTACTTAAGTGATTAGTTGGTTAAGGTGACGAGAGTTGCTTAGCAATACATGTCCTATTCTAGTTCAATGAAGATACTAGATATAGATTAAGACATTCCGCTCGGAGACTAGTTGGAAGATGCTTAGACATCGATTAGGGTAAACTGGAGGAGTCTGCGTTGCCCCCTATGAGTTTAGAACCTTAGTTTGAATCGAACATCTTTTAGATATTCTTTAGCAACTCATTTGCATTGCATTTAGTTTCCGGTAAATATTAGGTTAGGATTAATTTATTTTCCCATAAATCAAAAACCACAAAAAAATTCCTATGAGTTTATGAATTCGCTTACTTATCCCAATTTGAAGTTTTTGCAGATTAGACATTTTCCCTATAGATCGACACCCTAAGTCGTACAAGGTATATCTATGCACTTTCAGATATTAGATTTTTATAAATTTAAAACTCCGGACTAACGGCCTGCAAAGACCTGCGATTCTGTTAATATAGGATGCTGATTGTTAGGGGGAGAGAATGAGAAAAGAAGTAAATATATAACTAAAGTTCGTACACCATCTCATGGCAAGAAGTAGTAGGTATAGTACTTTAAAAAGAATTGATAGAGTTTAACCGTTTACTATGTGCATACAAAGTTGTTATTGATATTTTTCATTAGAAACTCTAATAAAGAACTAGAAAAATCTACAAAAAAAAAAATTTCCGATGATATCTTATGCAAATCATGCACATAAATATATAATAAATTTGCAATTGATAGTAAAAAATTTAGTATGACATTACATTAAGTTAAATTTAGGTTGAATATTAATTAGTATAAATATTTAATCTCTAAAACAAAATTATTTAATCTATTTCACCCGCCTGTAAAGTGGGATACACCCTAATGTAGTCTAATAAAATTAAAATAGATTATATTTAGTGTATTTTTGACTAAATTTGTTGATATGTTTTTTTTAGATTAATATTTGACTCCAATAAATTTGTGTTCAAACTTTCACATTGAGGTAATAATATATCAAATTTGTTTATTACGATCTTAATAAAATTTATTGTTTGTTCCGCCACAAATTTTAGTGACTTTTTTAATGCTCAACGGTATCCACAGTCAACCATTTTTTTTTTTTTTTTGCATGAAATTTTCTTAATTAATGCAGTGCATTAACTTATATTAATTTGTTGATTCAAAAAAATTTAATATTTTAATTTGACACGTATTATTATCGAATCAGATATTGAAACGTGTTACAATCACGCTGAATTATAATTCATTCATTGTACTACAACTAAACCTCGTTAAGCTTTATATAATATGATAAGATACAACTATCACACCACTCAAGTAACAGATAATCACAGCAAAAAAAAAAAAACTAAACAAAAAATCTTTATTTTTCCGACCATGGATAGCTTACTTTTCTCTATCCTCGACGAGATTCTCTTCAGATTAAATCCTAAATCTTTGGCACTGATGCGATGTACCAATAGATTTATGGAATCTCATATATCTGACAACTCAAAATTCAAATCTGAATATCTGTCTCGGTTCAAATCTAGTCTGCTTCACATCTCTAGAGGTGGCTCCAGGAATCTGTGCTTCCACCCTTTGGGTGATTTTAGGCTATTCCAAAACAATGATGCTTTAGAGAAGCCGTGTCATATCCTCGGTTATTGTTCTGGCCTTTTCCTACTCTTGATTGATGGATGTTTCTGTGTCACCAACCCTCTCACGAAAAAGTTTCGATTCCTGAATCGCTCCGAGTGGGTAAGACCAAAATGCATTGGATTCACGGTTGATCAAATCGATCAAACCACACAGGGATTTAAAATCGTCCACATAACCGTGCACTGCACTGCAAATCCAGATGAAAAGATGTATGAATTTAAGATCTACACTGTAGATTTTTGGAGATTGTCAAGAACAACAATTACATGCCTTTCAAGTGATCTCATGACAGAAATGAAACCTGTTTATTTGAATGGCACACTTCACTGGTTGAGAAAAGACGGAAGCATCATAGCTTTCAATCCCGGAACCGAGCAAGCACGACTGATCATCCCGAACAAACCCCACCTAGAACCGGGCACAAAACTCTTGCTCGGTGCCGACGATAACCACCTAACATTGATATCGGCGACCATAGAGGTAATTTACGTTTTTATCCTCGAGAGTATTCTCATTGATCCTAAATGGATCCTTGCAAGACAAATCAAGAACGAGGCAGTGAAGGAAACTATTACGTTGTCCTGGGACATGGTAGCATATGACGGCAAGTGCTTAGTGGTGAGGACGATGACTAACCTTGAGGATGATTACCGAGTGGTTTATGGCTACGACTTGAGAGCGAACAAGTGGGGAGTCGTGGGTTCAATACCAGGATGGTGCGATGAACCTCGAGACTTTTATCAGTATAAACCGTCGTGGTCTTCTGTTATCGGACTACTGGATCAGAATGGACCATATCCCAGTCTCTTCTCCTCGGTAGAGGGTATGATGGGACTCATTAATCGTAATATGTGACTTTAAATCCGTTTACTTTATAAAAAATAAAGATCTTTATTTTTTCTTTCTTTCATTTCTGAAATATGTTTGCTGTTGTTTTTAATTATGTTTTTCAAATATAAAGACTCCTTATTTTGTTGTCAACAAAACAGATTTCAGAAAGTTTATCCATTGTAGTATTATACATTAATGTTAACTCTGTAATCCGAGTTTTTTTGTTTGTTTGGATCGTTTGGGACGATAATATATTGTGACTGGTTACATTGGAAGAAGCTCGAATTAATCATATATTTAGAACTTCAATTTCACCGTGTCAATCAAACGTGAGGAATTCAATTTGACGACTAAAGGAAAACAATATTCTGAAGAACAAACATGTGAAAATCGTTAATTAAAAAAATGTGAAAAATAGGATTCTGATTGATCTTCATGGCTTTGGCCTTTGAATCCCATCTCTATATAACTTTTTCTTTTATAAAAAAATAAAAAGATCATGCAACATAAATCTATCATATGAGACCCCAAACACAATAATCAATTATACCAAGCCCAAAGAAGAACAAAATAATAGAAAATTTAGTAATTAAATAGCACTTTGATTAGTGCCCCGACGGTGTTCTCTCCCGCCTCCCCTTCGGATCTAGTTTTTACTATTAAAAAAATAACTACGATTTTCATTTGTTCACAAAACCATGTCCATGTCCTTGAAAGTATAATATAATGTCAACGTGGATTATGAGAGTCAGAGACATAGGCATAAGAAAAAGAGAGTTAATAGAAAGGGGAATATTCACCTTGTAGGGGAACGATTGTGGTTTCTGCTCTACGATAGTTATTGACCAATTCTTTCGTGCACTTTTCCGTCTCCACATACGCCTTGATTGACAACTCACCACGACAATTCTTCTCCTCAAGAGAATATTTTATTTTCTCATAAATCAACTCATTGAGACCCTCAGGGGAACAAGAAATCCACGGCGTCCGAGAAGAGGAGTGTAGGCGTTATTACTGTTGAGAATTTGATGAAAATCAGGTTCCAGTTCAGCTTAAATCAAGACTGGTTATGTCACTGAGTTATCTGGTTTAGGTAGCTCATTATGGTTTACGGTTATACCGACTTGAATTATGACCGTTGTAACGAGTTAAGAGAGAGATGATTCTGTAATCTGTAACAAAGAAGATAGTGGATTACTGGAAAAGTTCCAGGCCGAGTGATAAGAGACCAATGAGAGTTTATATAACAAGGAGGAAGCAAGCTGAGCTGGCAGGACGAAATGAGGAAGGAGCTGACGTGGATGGAAGTCAACAGAGTTTGTTTAAAGAGGGTCAACGAGAAGAGATGGTTGACGTGGCAGGACGAGAATATTGAGCCATTAGACTAAACGAATAGAATATAGTAGAGTGTGTAGTTTGTTTTACAGTTAAACAATTAGTTGTTTCTCTTGGAGGTTGCATTGAGAATCTGTTTTCTGCAATTTGGCAAGTCTCTCGAGAGTGTTCGTGAGATTTTATTTCTAGGTTGATTCGGTAACTGAGAGTCTCAGTTCTGATTCAATCTTGTAATTCTATTTGGTTATCAATAAAATCGGGTGTTTTGCTTATCATTTGGTGTGGTGAGCAAGCAAACACGGCGACGAAAATGGTGGAAATAGAAGAATCCTCAACGGACCTGGATCGAGCCACGACGGAGCTGAGAGAATCGTTTATAGAGCTCAATCAAGCCGTAGAAGTCATTCACGGTGGTTGGAGAAGACTAACGACAGCGAATGAAGAAATCACAACTCAAGTATCGAAGATCGAAAAGAGAATCGATTCGGTCGACAGGAATATCAACTCGATCTAACAAACGCTAGCTCGAATCAAAGTGAACCAGTTCGCCGATAAATCTCAAGGCGAACGAATCAAGTTAGTGCGAACGAATCTGATACTCACCGGGAAGATGAATCGCTAGGTTATCGAGGAATTAGCAATATATGAGAGAATCGAAATGGCTGGTTGAAAAAGATCGAATTGCCGGTGTTCGATGGTAATAGACCTTATGGTTGGATTGTGTTGGCTGAAAGATTTTTCAGACTTGGGAAATACTCCGATACAGAGAAATTAGATCTGATGTCGATAAGTCAACAAGGTCTGGTATTGAATTGGTTCAACATAGAAGTTGAGAAACGAGAATTCAGCAGTTGGTCTCAGTTCAAGGACAGATTGATAGCTCGGTTTTGTGTCAAGTTAGAAGAAAATCCTGCAAAAGGTTGTTCAGTATGAAGCAGACAGGATTGATTGTGGATTATGTAAATGAATTTGAAGAACTCTCAACGATTTTGAAAGGAGTGGATGAAGACAACATGATGCACGAATTCTATTTGGGGCTGAAACCATAAATGCAGAAAGTCATCAAACGAAAGGAACCAAAAACATTAACGAAACACTTCCACGCAGTCATCAGAATGGATGATATCGCTTTTTGTATCAATGGCTTCAGCATCACAACAAACACAACCAAGAAAGATATCATACACACCGTTAAGATCTGCATCTCACTACAACTCACAAAGAGCTTGGAACCAGAGCTCAACTCACGAAAACTCAAAAGAGGGGTTACGAGGATATGAAAATCAATTGGGGAAGGCATCAAGTTCAAACTCATGGAATCAAGAGAAACAACCGTAGAAACCACAGCACAGAGGTCAAATGGTAAAGAAGATCAGTCAGTCAGAATTCGAGGAATACAAGAGGTTGGGTTTATGCTACAAATGCAAGGAGAAATTGTCTAAGACACACAAATGTGTAAACAGGGAACTTCGGGTACTAACAGTGATAAACAACACAGAGGTGGAAATCATAGAGGATCAAGGTATCACCTTGGGAGAAGAGGAAACAGAGGAAAGGGTAGAACTCATGGAACTGTCTCTGTTTTCATTATTGGGACTATCATCACCTACAACAACAAAGCTATGGGGCACAGTGAGGAAGACAAGAGTGATTGTTATGTTAGACAGTGGAACCACACACAACTTCATAGACCCATCTACAGTGGCAAAATTAAAGCTGCAACCAAGATACAGCAACAAACTGGAAATATTATTACCAACGGGTATCACAGCCAAAGGCATTGGAGTGTGTAGAAACATAATGTTTGACCTGCAACAGAATGAATTCACCGCAGACTTTATCTTTTTGGAGTTAGGCAACAATGATTTTATCTTGGGAGTGCAGTGGCTAAGGACATTAGGGAAGTGTGAAATGGACTGGGAAAATCACAAAATTTCTTTTAATCATATAGGAGCGATTGTGAAACTCGTCGGTGATCCATCTCTCCATAGTAACAAGAATTCTCTGCAGCATATCCATCATCCTATTGGTTTTGATTTGGAGTTATTTCAACACCAACAACAAGAGTTATCGGTTGTTGTCCCCAAACCAATAGAACGTTTATTAGGTACGTACGTGAAAGTCTTTGCAGAACCTACTCAGCTCCCACCTCTCAGAGGACACGAACATGCGATAAATTTAATCGCAGGAGCTGGATCAATAAGCGTACGTCCTTATAGATATCCTCAGGCCTATAAGGAAGAGATGGAAAATCTGGTGTCCAAGATGTTAAACGATGGTATTATACAACCAAGCCGAAGCCCATATTCAAGTCCAGTCTTATTAGTCAAAAAGAAGGATGATTCATGGCGATTTTGCATAGATTACAGGGCGTTAAACAAGATCACAGTTCCAGATAAATTTCCCATTCCCATGATTGATCAACTTCTCGATGAACTACATGGAGCAAAGCTGTTCTCAAAACTGGATTTAAGGTCAGGTTATCATCAGATACGTATGGAAGAACGAGATATCGAAAAGACAGCTTTTAGATCATCTAATGGCCAACATGAATTTTTGGTAATGCCATTCGGGCTAAGTAACGCACCGGCCACATTTCAAGCGTTAATGAATGCTTTGTTTCGCCCTTATCTCGGTCAGTTTGTTTTGGTGTTCTTTGATGACATATTGGTTAGAAGAACACTTGATACATCTTCAGACAGTGCTAGACATCTTTGTTCAACAACAAATTTTGGCAAACAAGAAGAAGTGTTTATTTGGTCAACAGCAAGTCAAATATTTGGGACATGTAATTTCTGGTGAAGGAGTATCGACAGACCCGGCCAAAACAGAAGCAATGAAGAAGTGACCTGTGCCCAAAACGGTAAAAGAACTTAGAGAGTTCCTGGGACTCACAGGTTACTACAGACGGTTCGTTAAAGGATATGGTACATTGGCCAGACCACTTACTGAGCTCTTAAAGAATGATAAATTTGAATGGGATAATAGAACACAGACGGTTTTTGATCAATTGAAGGAAGCTATGATGAATGTTCCTGTATTAGCATTACCAAACTTTTCAGAGCCATTTATTATGGAATCAGACGCATCAGGATATGGAGTAGGGAGCAGTACTTATGCAAGGCCATAACCCCATTGCATATTTCAGCCATGGTCTTTCAGACCAAGAACAGATCAAACCCATTTACGAACGAGAGTTGATGGCTATACTCTTGGCAATACAGAGATGGAGACATTACTTAATTGGTCGGAAATTTATTGTGCAGACAGACCAGAAGAGCCTGAAATTTTTGTTAGATCAACGTGATGTGTCTATGGAATATCAAAGATGGCTTTCAAAACTGTTATGGTATGATTTTGAAATCATCTACAAACTGGGGATTGACAACAAAGCTGCTGATGGCTTATCCAGAATGGTACAGTCTGAAAGTTGTGAAAATTCTACATAGCTATTCGCACTCACAGTCCCTACGAGTTTACAGCGACAGGATATCTTGAAAGAGATAGATAAAGATGCTGACATGCAGACACTACTGCAGAAAGTGTTGACAGAGGAGAAAGATCACAACAAGTATTCGGTCATCAGTGGAAGGGTGCAATACAAGGGAAGACTGGTTTTATCGAGGCACTCAAAACACATCCCATTGATTCTACAGATATATCATGATGGGGTCATTGGAGGCCATTCA